ACATCCAATCATCCATCAGTTCTCTTCCAACCCCTCAACCTTCAACCCCCTTCAATGCATCTACCAATGGTTTCCCCCCTAAAACACTCAACCACTACAACTCAACCCAACCCTCCAAAATCACATAATCAGCTAGGTCCATCTGCCAACACCATATCCAAACTCAACTCTTCAACCTCCTCCAGTTTCCCAACAACCATACCATCTTCTCTACAATCTTCTTCCACCACTATTACTCAATCTTATACAGCAGCCCACTCCCTCCATATCCGACCCCGCATCATCACACCCCCTATTCAAGTCAACTCCTCCAGTCACATTATAAATCGATCAAAAATTGGTGCACTCGAGCTCAAAACAATCTTCACACACCAAAGTTCCATCCAAGCAGCCTCAAACCTCTCACCTTTCTTGAACAAATGCCAATGCCAACTGGCAGCATGCTATGCAAATTGAAATGGATGCTCTCTACAAACAAAACACTTGGGCCTAGTTCAACGTCCACCCAATCAATCCATTTATGGCAATAGATGGACATACAAGATCAAATGAGAACCCGCTGGGACAATTGACAAACACAAAGCTCGCCTCGTGGAGAAAAGCTACAGTCAACAATATAGACTATAGTACAATGAAACATTCAGGCCAATGGCTTGACACCCAACCATTCGAAGTCTTTTAACTATTTCCATCACTCGTTGATGGCCCATCCTACAGTTAGATGTCTGAAATGCATTTTTTCATGACGATCTTCAAGAAAAGTTATATATGCTATGATCCCGACTTTTAAGACAGTACTACGAAGTATGTGTGGTTATATTCTCTATTTTCTTTATTTATATTTCTCCCTTTACAACAATGCCAAAAAGTTGACTCCAAAGCAAATAAGAATGCAATTAATATATTCAAGACATAAAGTAATAAACCGAATTTGGGGCTTCAGTCTGTCACTCTAAAGTCCTCTAACTCTACACCTCTTAAAGTTTATTTTCCTATTTATTTGCACTCAACTATATGAATTATATTATTTTCCATACAATCTCATGTGATTCTTACCATTAGTTGACTGAGACAATACCATCTTGGGTCTTAAATATTTTCACAACAAATATTAAAATATTAATTGGTCAAATCAAGAAGTAAATGTAGTACAAGAATTAAATCATCACAACTTATTCCGACATTAAAGATCAATATTTCACACAACTTCTATCCAACACTTAATTACTTATCATTTTAAGGAAAAAGATAAAGAAAATTACTCGGAATTCATGGAGAAAACACAACACTTAAGTTTAAAAGTAGAAATCATGTAAGCACACAACTAAATTAAAATCAAATGTATTCACAAAGATAAAAACTTATCTCAAATTCCTCTCCACCAAACTCTTGAAGTTCTTTTGAATCTCTTTCTTCTCGTACAATACTCTCTACTAACACAACTACAACTCCTCTTTCTTCTCTATAAAAGTATCATAATTAATCTATGATAAGCGTGGTAGAAATAAGTCTCAAAGAGAGGGGGGTGCTGGCCACTTTAATTCAATCCAAGTGCTTTTATAATTTTTCAAAAAATGTTTTGTTCTCTTCAAAAATGTGTCAACATTCAATGAATCTTCTAAGAGTAACCTCCTTTCAATAGTCATTTGAATGTATTTTCATGCCTATTAACCATAATCCACATTTTCACCAAGAGTTGTTTCAAAAACCCCTTCAAAAATTCGTTCAAATTTATTGAATTTTCAAATAATTACCTCTGGGCGTAAGCACGAGGTATTCGGCGCTTAGGCGCAGTCTTCTCTGTTCTCCTGGCGCTTAAGCGCCAATCCTGGTTGCTTAAGCGCCACATTTATTTGTATACCTTCTTGATTTTTGCTTCAAATTTGATCATTTTTCACTCTTTTCACCATTTTCATTCATTTGGTTGTAACTGAAAGAAAAATACATAAATATCTTCCATTAAACACCAAAATCCTCAAAAATAGATATAAAAATATGTACATAAATGTTATATATTTTAGGTGTATCAAAATCCCCCAAACTTAAAACGTTACTTATCCTCAAGTGACACTTCAATCTTTCAAAATTAAAATAAGTAGATTATGTAAATGAGTTTCTTTAGGATATTCTAAAATTTTGATTTAGAAATATAGCAGTCCAATTTAGAAAAAAAATTTAGTAAATGAGACCAACTTAGAGTTTAAAAATCTTTAATGTAAAGAAGTCTGCAAATATGAGTTTCTATCTAGTTCAGAAATACTTGTAAATTCTCCAAATATAGGATTTAGGCATTCTATTTTCTCCATTTAAAAAGTTTTATTAAGAATAATTATACCTACTATATTATATTATTAAGCTTAAGAGTTTCTCAAATCTTATATTTAAAAAAAATCAGATGTCGAACCAATTTTTGATTAGGCACTAATCTTGAAGCTTCTCCTCCATATTTCAACTTTATTTTCCCAAAGGAAGAATATAACATTGATAGATAGGAAATGTTTTTTGCAACAAGCAAGAAATACAGCAGCTAAATGGATAGGCAAGTTCCCAATAAATTTTCTATCCATTTTTCAGTAGGGTGAAGTAGGGAATCATAAATAAAAATGTAACAAACAAAAGAAGTACATTTTATTTCCCATATTTTATGTCCCTTATCAACCACCACCTATAAATAACAGTTTAATCTCTACATGAACTTTTCTTGAGTTACTTATAATAGTCTCAGTAAATAAACTTAAGTATTCCTTTGGCATCTTGAAGCTGTGCATTCTCTCTCAAGTTCTCTATAATTCAATTTTCATCTTAGAAACTCTTGCTTTTAATATCAAGAATTCGCCTTCTAATTCCTGTACCGTTCGGTGATGACCTTCCACCATCTCTAATAACTAGAAACCATTTATCTTCTACTTTTGATTTTTTTTCATAACATTTAACTAAGATATGGGATTTTTTATTAATTGTAGCACTATCATCATTTTTACTGAGACTGACTCCCTCTCTCCCCTCCCTCCCCTCCCTCTCTCCCCTCCCTCTTCTCATCTCTCCCCCACTCCTAACTCCCTCCCTCTCTCTATCCCTCTCTCTCCCTCACCCTTTCTCCTCTTCTCTCTTTTCTCTCTCCTCTGTTCTCTTCTCTCCACTCCCACTCACTCACTCTCTCCTTTGCTTATGCTCCCTCATTCTTTCTCCCTCTCAATCTTTCCCTCCCTCTCTCCCTTTCCTTCTCTCTCTCTCTCTCTTCTCTCTTTCACTATTCTCTCTCTCCCCACTCTTTCTCTCTCTATCACTCTCACTCCCTCCCTCTCTCTTGCCCTCCCTCCCTCCCTCTCTCTCCCCCTCCCTCCCCCTCT